AATCAGTAGTGGGATTCTTTTTAAACTCAGGCTCTAACTTTGGTGTGTTCTAAACCCCAGGATCCTACCTGAATAGACTCCAGCTGCTTGAGCCCCACTGGTTCCCACTGCCACAACTCAACAAGGAAATGAATGCAGATACAACTTGCTTTACTACAGGGTCTTTCATGTACATTGCACCCCAATACACCTTACAGAGTGAATGTAAAATAATTTCAAATGACTGTGTGTTCCAGGATTAGCTGCACCAGAAGCAAGGAGAGAGGCAATTCCTGATCTGTCTTAAGTGGTTTTACAGGATCTGGTCCAAGAGGTGAATATAGCTAAACTGCTTGGTAATAGCCACTATACTGTAATTAAATTTAACATCCTTGAGGAAAAAGCCCAAAGAATCCCACCATAGTAGCATTTAACTTCAAAAGGGGGAACTACACAAAAGAGAGAAAGCTAGTTAAATGGAAATGAAAAGGAACAGTCACAAGAGTGACATACCTGCAAGCCGCATGGAAACCTTTTAAAAACACCATTATAGAAACTCAAATTAAATATATGCCCCAAATAAAAACAAAACAACAACAGTAAGAGGACCAAAAAAATTCTACCATGGCTAAACAGAATAAAAGTCAGTTAGAAACAAAAAAAAGCATATTTTAGACATTGGAAGTCAAATCCTACCTAGGAAAATAGAAAGGAACAAACTCTGGCCAGTCAAGTGTAAAGGTATAATTAGGCTGGCTAAAAAAAGAAGTTGAAGAGCAACTAACAAAAGGCAAAAAAAAAAGAGAAAGAAATGCTGTTAGCTTTGTTAGTATATCAGAAACAGAAACCTTGCCAAACAATCAGCGAGGAGAATGTGATGGAGATTCCTACAACTGAGCCATTCTTCTCAGTTTACAAATCTGATAAACTGTCCCAGATTGATGTGTGAGAGAAGGTTTTAAAACAAATTGATAAATTAAACAGTAATAAATCACCAAGACAAAGTTACCCAAGAGTTCTGAAGGAACATAAATATTAAGTTGCACAACTACTAACTGTGGTATGTAACCTATTGCTTAAATCAGCCTATGTATTAGATGACTGTAATGCTGATTTTTTTTAAAAAGGCTCCAGAGGCAATCCTGGCAATTACAGGGCAGATTGCCTAACTTCAGCACCAGGCATATTGGTTGAAACTATAGTAAAACAGACTGATCAAACACAGATGAACATGATTTGCTGGGGAAGAGTCAACAACTTTTGTAAAGGGAAATAATGCCTCACTAATCTATTAGAATTCCTTGAGGGGGTCTAAAACAGGTGGATAAGGGTGACCCACTGCATATAGTGTATTTTGAACTTTCAGAAAGCCTTTGACAAGATCTCTCACCAAAGGCTCTTAAGCAAAGTACGCAGTCATGGGATAAGAGGGTACATGCTCTCATGAATCGGCAACTGGTTAAAAAGATAGGAAACAAAGGGCTGGAATAAACTTTCAGTTTTCACAATAGAGAGAAGTAAGTAGCAGCATAGGTGCCAACTCCGGGGCTGGAGCACCAACAGGGAAAAATGCCTCCTTCTCCCTCTTCCCCCCCCTCCCCCCCCGAGCACGCCGTGTCCCCGCTCCTCTCCCCCCCGCTGCCTAACAGCTATTTGGTGGCACTTAGGACTTTCCAGGAGGAAGGGGAAAGAGCGGGGATGCAGCACGCTTGGGGGAGGAGAAGAGGCAGGGCAAGGGCGGAGACTTGGGGAATGGGGGTGGGGCGAAGGCAGGGCAGGGCAGGAGTGGGGCGGCGGGGGGGTTGGGTGAGCACCCACTGGGCAGAGGGGAAGTCGGTGCCTATGAGTAGCAGCGTCCCCCACAGATCTATATTGGGACCAGCACTGTTCAACATATTCCTAAATTATCTAGAAAAAGGTATAAACAGTGAGGTGGCAAAGTTTGCCGACGATACAAAATGAAGCTGGTGCTAGATAAATGGAGGAAATGAGGATGAGAGTCACAAGCAGGTCCATGGAGAATTTTGCAAATGAGAAGGGAAAAATCTTGAATCAATGGGGAGCAAATAGAGCTGTTTAATGATTGCAGTGAAGTGTTATACTTCTCAGTGTGTGAGAGAAGACTTGAACCAGAGCCTGTCAAAAATGGATTTTCCATTTAGTGAAAAACTTCCAGTTTTCAACATCTGGTTCCAATGCAAAACATACAGCCAGAGAGTTCCTTGTCCCAGAATAGCCAGTAGCCCAGTGGTCAGCACACTGACCTGCAGTGGGGATCTCTCACTCTGGCCTCTTGGAGCTATTCCAATTTATATACTAATTAAATATTAATTGGGCCGAAGAGAGAGAGACTAGGACTGACTCTGTAGCCTGCTGGGCCAGAGACACCCCAGAATAGCCAATAGCCAGGAGACTAAGATTTAAATCCTGCTCCAAATCAGGCAGGGCGGGGCCTTGAATTTAGATATCCCACATCCCTTGTGAGTGTCCTAACCACTGCGATATTGATTATTCTGGGGTGGGAGTGTCTTTCTTTCCCCCCCCATCCTGCAACTGAGATTCCCAACAAAAGTTTAGTTGAAACAGATACAGTTCTGCAAAAAGTTTTGGCTTTGATGAATTGGTATTTAGTCAAAAAATTCCTGACCAGCTCTAGCAGACACTGATTTTCTGCACATGCTGGAGAGGGTGAATTTGGGAGTTTGTAGGGAAGAGAGTCGCAATTAGCAATCAAGGTGAAGGAAAAATGATGCATGAGGCTTTCAGAAGAAGTGGTGGCTTGTAAGAGCAGTACTGCAGAGGTGATGATAGGCATATTTATGGACAAGAGAAATGTGGGGAGACTAAAAATATGCAAGTTGCTCCATGCCAATATTAATTATTTTAAAAATATTTGGCTTTTAAATGTAAGAGAAGCTGTGCCTTTTGTTGGGCTTATAATGACGACGATTTCTAGGAACACAAACAATTCATGTTTATACAGAAATTTATATTTAAGTGCTACATACATTCAGAGTAATATTTGAATCCCAATTGTTATTTGAACCCTTATAAAGCTGCTCAGTTGATAACTTCTTAAGGCAATAATCAATATCCCAGATTTAATATACAAATCTAGTGAGAACACTGTTTACTTACCCAACAAATGCAAAAGTCTCTTTCTGGTTGTGGAATACACCCAAAGCAAAGAAACAGGATTATATTTAGCAATTATTGCAATTTAGGAGGTAGTTCAAACTTTAGTTCAAACTGAGCGGCATCACTGACTCATCACAAGTGGGTTAGAGAAGGGGATTTCCTATTTAAGTACAACACAGATGAACAATAAAAGTAAAGCATTTACAGCTAATAAAAAAGGCTAGAAAATATCCTTAATATTCTTTATGGAGGGAAAATCTTTACAGAACATAGGTGGCAACTTCTATTTCAAATCAAAATAAACTCTGCTGTTCTAAAACCAAAAGCATCCCCATAAAGCTGGCCATTATTCTAATGCCTAACTAAACCGAGCTATGGCTGCCTTTGCCAGGAAAGAGCTAGGGCAGGGATTCTCTGAAGTCTTTGTAACACCCTAGGTTCTGGCATAGAAGAAATCCTAGATTAACTAAGCAGGTATTTCACAAAAGATGTTCTGACATGAAAATGGCTTTCATTGCAGCAGTTGCATAAGGTGGTAGAGAAGGCCATACTAAAGAACCTAGCCATTACCCAATATTTGGGCTCAAATCCATGAGTCAGTGACACCATCCACAAATTTCAGTAAGTATGAAGGTCATTTTTGTAATTACTGTTTCTAGTAAAGATGCACTCCCACGTACAGTGAAGGTGGGAGGGAGGTTACGATCTACGTGGGAAGCTTCAGCTGTAGGCTGTGTCAATGTGGGACTCCTTATGGTTTAAGAGTGAGCTTCTGTAAGTATATTAGTAATTAGGTAACTACTGTTCGCTTCCAACAAACAGCTGGGTGATGTTTCCAAGGAGTATTGGGTCAGGAAACATCTGAACAACTGCAAAAAGTTATTTTGTATTACTGATAGGGAGCACTCTAGTGGTCAGAGCACAGAATTGGGAGTTTCAAGATCAGTTCCTTGTTCTGCCACTTGCCACCTTGGGCAAGTGTTGTGTGAACTTTCTGTACCTCAGTACAAGGTGGATGAGACTGCACAAGGATACTATATTTATTTCTATTTCCAAAGTCCTTTGAGAGCCTCACATGAAACATATTTAGAAGGTGGAGTACTAGCATTTTAGCTTTGAGATTTTTTCTGAATTTAGATATAGACTAGTAAAGAAAATTAGTGATTTTTAGGACTTAGTAGTTGTACGGGGAGAGGGAAAAATCAATAGAATTAGCAAGATGGAGTTCACCTCCCACTCTCTCCTCTCCGTTCCCTCTTTTCTTTCTCCTCTGCCTTCTACTTCCCCCATAAATAGCTCATTGTAGAGAGATGGGAGGGTGAGATCCCAGGTATCAGTAAGTTAGCCTGCTGTTCCTCTTCTATTGGGTTGGCAGAATGAAATAATTTGGATAGCTCACTGTTGAGTGGTAGGGCTGGGGTATCCAGAGGTGAGCAGCTGACTTTAGAGCAGTAGTAATACATGAAGATATTTCAAATGTAAATTAATTAGTTTGAGCCTCTGTGCTTGTTCTGCACTAGTGGCTGTTATTTTGATCTTTTCTTCAAGACAGTCGAGCTGCCCTGGCTATTTGGCAGCATCTCTCAAGGGGTAGTTTTGTTTCTAACAGTCTCTCCTGTGAACTGGAATGACATGGTGCACAAACAATCCCATCTTTAATGTCTCCAAAGTTACATGGGGATGTCAGTTCTCAGCTCTGTAATTTAAGTATCTATTCCCTCTTCTGATTCTGGATTTGGATGAAGTAACATACCTGTCTACAATCTCATTCTGCCTGGGATCACAATACTCAAACACCTTTATTACTCCAGGCAACAGTGTCTCACTCATTTCTCATCTCCCCCACACACACCCCCAATGTGATAGTAAAAAAAAAGCATTACTTTCATTTTCACATCTTTATCTCCCATGGGCAGATACGTATACAGACTTAATTCTTGCTTCCACTGCTTCCCTGCTGGTGCAAGGTTTTTCATCTGGAAATCCAGCATTCCTGGTAGTCTGAGTCCCTCCATGTTGTGTGTTTGCTTGGCTTCTAGGAGCTGCTTTGCCTGTTAATCATACTCTCTTCCCTTGCTGCAGGCCTCACTAAAATGACTGCTGCCACCATGGTTCATATACCATGGTCTGAGCATTAACATGAGGGCTCCATGTTCCTTAAAATAAGCTCACTCTTTATTAAAAACTATTTACTGAGATGCTGCAACTGCAGCTGGCATTCCAGCCATGTGCACACAGACTGACATCTTGGTACCTCCTCCAAACTCCAGGTTGCTACATCCTGAATCTACTGTTACAGCTACACGGGTTATGTAGCTTTGATCTCCCTCCCAGTTACCTAGCTGCACTGATAGAATGCTTTTCAGAAGCACTGTCTCTCTCATTGTACCTGACTTACCCAAATAATTATGAGTTAGTTGATGCCATTTAGGCACAGTCACAAATAGGGAGCAATGTAAAGCCACATAGCTTTGGCAGAGATTGTGCTTCTGGAAGCACAACTACTGCGAGACCATCCCTGAGCACAGGGAGGTGTTCATACTGCACTGAACCTCAAGATGGGACATACTGTTACCTTACCTGTAGCCAATCAGCTCCATGGGCCAGGTGGGGATGGGATGACAGACAGGACCATTGCCCCTACCGTTTGCCTGCTCATCTCAGAGTACCTGACACCTTTGAGGACTGTTGTATTAGTTTCTCTTGGGATCAGAATGAAGAAGATCCATGGTCCCAGGAGATGGTGGGCATGGCAGCCATGATGGCGAAGCTCGCTTCAGGAGCCTTCATCTGGTTTCCTCCCCCCTTCAAAAAAATAAAAATAAAATAAAGTCTATGGACCCAAAACAAGGGCATGAGAGGTAGAATATCCCATCCCCTCATTTTTGTCCACCAATTTTGGTTCATTAATTTTTGGACCCACATTTTCTTATTATACAAACCATGATCGTAACAGTCCTCGAGTTATATCTGCAGGTCTTTTTGTTTAGACTAATTTAGCCTGTCTCACTTTCATACCTTTTCCCCTATCAACATTTGATTTTATAGGTTATTGTGACATCTTTTGCATTTTTACATACTTTTTACAGTTGAGCTTACAATGAGAATAAGTTTTTCAGCCCATTTATCACATCAGAAAGGAAACAGTTGTTTGCATTCCTGAGCTTTTTATTTATTAAGTTTACTATTTACATACTAAGCTCTTACTGGGTACCACTATCAAGTATGTTATCTGTTACTGGACATAAGCAATGCTGAAGTCAGTTTTATAAACTAAATCTACGAGTATTATTTCTCGCATACCTCTTACATTCTGATTATGAAGTCTAGAGAGACAAGGTGGGTAACTTAATATCTTTTATTAGACCAACTTCTGTTGGAGAGACATCCAAGCTTTTAGAACCAGTATTATTTGGGTCCTACACAAACCTGTCTCATTTACTTCTGGAAAATTAACGATCTGTTAAATGACTCAGGGCAGAGAAGTTATAACTTTAATAGTGTTAGAAAAAAATTCACTGCTCTTTACACAACAAAAATAGCAAAGGACAAGATTGAGTCATTTGAAGTAGTGGCCAAAAGGTATTATTCCTGTGTTTAGGGGATAACGGTTGAGTAACTAGAAGGACTAGGTCTTCAAGTCTCAAAAAGTTTGAGATAGATTTTTTTTCAGGCAGTGATTTCCATAATTATGTTAAAGAAAACATTAGGGCAGAGGCCCCCAAACTGTGGGGCATGCTGAATATTGGGGGGTGGGGGCACATGGCTGGGGCCTGGGCCAGCCCCCACAGGGGTCAGAGAGGGAGCACTGCCCAGCTCCACCCAGGGCCCCCTTACCCCTGTCCACATCCCTGCTGCCCTGAGCTGCATCCTGTCTCCCAGCCACAGCTGGCGGAGGGGGTGTGTGCGGGGGGCGAGGTGGTAAACATAGGGACCACTGCATTAGGGGTTCTTCAAAAGTACATCAGGAAAACATGTTTATTTTGAAGTTAGCCAGCCTTTATTAACTAAGACAATGGTTTTGTTTTGTTTTTTTAAAAAGACACATAATGGGTCAAATTCATCCATGCCAGGAATGAATTAGGTCAATATGTTAGTTCTGGTACAAACAGTGGACCAGATGCTGTGTTATGTAAACCAGCCCAACACCATTGCAGTCAGTGGAGCAAGGTTTAGTTGCACCAGTGGAGAATCTGGCCCATGAGTTTTAGTTGGGGATAGTGTGGTATTAAGCTAATTTTTATTTTCATGATCAAAGCAGAAAAGCAAGGTTGTTAATATGTGAGTGAAGAAAAAGGGACTGAAATTTGGAAGTCATGTCCACTGAAACCAAACTCTCAAGTTTATTCATTTAGTAAATTGTCTGACTCAGTGTTTTTATATTGAAAGTGATTCATACTAAAATATTTTTTCTGTTTTGTGAGAGTATACAGCACATACGCTTCACCATATATGCCATTAATGGGTCTGCACTTTGGCCAAGCTTAGTTCTAAGTCAGAATTCATTTTCTTCAGCTTGTACCCATAACTTTGATACAATAAATAGGTATTTCACTTCAGTAACTTTTTTGTAGCATTGACTAAAAGCAGAAAGTACCATTTAGGAAATATGGAGAACAGTTTTGATACAGATTAAGGTATCTAAAGGATGTAGGGCAAGCCTTTAAAAAGAGCTGGGTCAAAAAGTTGTTTTAACTCTGCTGGATGAAAACAAGTTCTCACTGAACACATTTTAGTCTCCCCCCATCCTCCTTCTCCTCCTACTTTTCCTTTTCTTAAGCCACCAGTCACATTGGGGAAAAATGATTTTCAAAAAAGGCTGAAAAAAGTGGGGGAAGGAAAGGAAGCTTTAAAAAAAGAAGTCAAAATACCCCAAATTTAATTAATATATATATTTTAAATATCACAAAATGTTACCTCACCCACCCAGTCTCTCATTTTATATCTTTTTTTGGACTAACTTCTGTTGAGAAGAGAAGAGTTCAAGCTATGTGGAGCTCTTCTTCAGGTCTCCTGGGACCAACATGTTTACAACGCCACTGTAAACAATATAAAATGGAGGGTTTTTTCCCTTCAAGATTTTCTATTTAAGAACAAGGCCATTTTCAATGGGAAAAACACTAGGGGGGAAAAAATAGACCAGCTCTATACCCTAAAGACTGAGCAGAAGAAATCCAATTATTCATTGCCTCTTCAATATTCTCAGTGGTAAGCTGTCAAGAGAGGTTTTATGTTGGGTGCAGGGGGATATATCATGTGTTGGTCAAAAACGCAGATACATCAGTGACAAACCGACACTCAAATAGATTGGGATGGCATATTGTCCAGTATTATTGGAGCATAATGTGCAAGGCAATAGACTTTTTACTGCAATAGAAAATGTAAGGTTTTTGTTTTAAGAGAATGTGTTTAGCTCATTTGATATTATTTTGCATTTGTCAATAATTAAATCTGAAGATTGTCTCCTAAAGTGATCATTCTACAAGTTTTGCTGAAAGAACCTGCAAACAGTTCTTTAAGAAAGTGTAAACAAAATCAGAAAGGCTTTTTTCCATTTAAGTCATTATGAAGAAGTGCTATGTCATCAATCTTGTTTTTATTCAATGGATACTAAAAAGCACCTCAAACAACATATTTTATTCCTCACTTCTAGTAACTCAAACTGTTTGTTCTTAAAGTGAGATCAAGTCTGAAAAGTCTAAACCCCAGAAGAAGATTTGACAACACACTAAGGTATATTTTAGCATTTCCTCTGTAAAATAAACTTTGGTAATTTAGAAGACTGAGTTGACTAAAATATACTGCTGCTCAAATAAACCACTGAGTGGGTTTCTTCTACAACTCATTTTTATTTGCGACAGAACTGTTCCTCAAAAAAACCACCACTCAAATATGCCACATGATGTCACCAGAGACACATCAAGAATTTTAGTTAGATGATAGCCTCTGCTAGCTTTGTTTCACCTTTCTGAACAAATGCTTCAGGGACAGATTTTTAAGAAGAAGAAAGGCAGCTCAAGGTCCAAGTGCAATTGTGAGCTTATCTTTGAGTATGCAATTGTTCTTGAACTAAGAAACCAGGTAATCATTTGTAGATTAAGCCATTCAAGGTATACACAGCATCTTGGAAAATGAAAGTACATCAAAGCACACTACACAAAACTTTTAGCACATGGTAGCTGAGTACATGCAGCCCATTGATAAATACAAGCTATGCACTATAGATTTACACCCTGGCTTGCCATGCACTAGCTCTCCCTGTAGACAAGTCCTATGAATGGGATCCAAAAAAGCCAATATGCTGAACAGAGAGTTAACATTTCTTATTTCCTATTTTAGGGAAGATGAGGAGCAGGGCCTTACCATTCCTCCCTGGGAATCAGGTTCACATCTCTGCCTGGGATTCACAGCCTGGAATCTTGTGCTGGAGTTAGATGCTTAAGCCAGGTCAGCTGTTTCTTGCAAGGTAATGGTAGTACTGCAGCGGATATACTTATATCCAATAACCCAATGGTTAGAGCACTCACCAGGATATGGGAGGCCTGGATTCAAATCCTCACTCTTAGTACTTCTATAAGAATTGGAGAAGGGACTGGAGCCTGCATCCCATTGTGCTTTAGAGTCACTCACTTTTGCTCAGCCAATGACTGTTTAAATAGTTATACAAAGTGGAACAGCTTCAATGGGAGTAATTGAGACCCCCGCCCACCCCAGAATATCCCATAGTCCAGTGTTAGGGTGCTCACTGGAGATCTGCGTTCAAACCCTTGCTCCACATCAGGCGGTGGTGATTTGAACTTGGTCTCCCACATCTAGTGTGTGAATGCTCTAGCCACTTTCTCCCTGGAGGCCCAATTCCTACCCAAATCACTGACCCTCAGGGCTTCTTCCTCAGAATCCTATCCCCACTCTGGATCCTTATTCCCAGTCTACCTCTAGACCGTCTGCCTGAGGTTTGGCCTTTTCCTGGGTCTGGCCAGGAGCCAGCACTGCCTCTCCTGCTGCTGCCCTCTTC